GTACCCCTTTAAACTGTAACCATGTTAACGCTCCAGTCTATCCTCGTCTGCATGCACCCAAGCCGAGATGACATTGTATAGTGGCAAGCCTTTCGAGACCTGCAGGGCAGTTAACTCGTAGCCATACCAAGTCATTACCGAGTCGCAACATCTCGGTATCGACTTCAAAGGGCCTCATTATCTCCGTCTAGATTGAGGTAAATGCCGGTCGCTGGTGCGGTCCTGGATCGATCGCATTTCATTGGGAATTAGCGCTCGTTTGCAGCCTGACCCATTTCCCCGGCTTGGCCCTAGCGGTGCGCTTGACGAGAGGTTCGCGGTACGGTATACGACCGGTCGGGGCCGACGAGACCTAGATTCCTCTGACCGCTGTGATGAGCCGCCGTATGTAGTCTCTCGCTCGAAGCGTCTCTCTTGCACCCCAAAACCGAACTCATATCTGAGTACATGTCACAAGTTGCTTGCTTGTAAAGGGGGGGGGGCACACCAAGTATGCCGAGGCGTAATATTTGACGGCAGATGAGCCTGCGATTGTCTCATTCGAGTATTTAATGTGGTGTTTTATGTGTGGAAATAGAAACTGCAGGCCTAGATCAACATAAATTGAAGCATTCTGTTTCCGACATTTAAATCTACGGGAAACAAATCGAATAACCTTGGTCAACATTGTTCTTTTCCAAAAGAGGATGGGTTGTATCAATTAGATTTCAGCTTACAATGCTACAAAGAAAGGAACTATGGATAACTGTCTTATTTTGAAACTTTGAACTGACCCGATTGGTTTTATCGACCCACTTGTAACTCCAGATTCCTGACTTGTATTCCTTGAATGTTGAGATGATTCAACTAAACGTAAACCTGTTAGTTTAGGCGTTGGCACAGTGATTTCCTGATATACCTTGACGGTATACCTGCCTGTGAATTAAATCAGCGCACACAGCTACATGTTTATAGCCCCGCAGTACTTCAAGTGACTGTGCCAGAGATTTGTTCTGTGATGACTTGACCTTTCAACTTTGGTGATCAGTCAGCATGCCGAACGAGTGACGCCATCTCACCTTCGCTGCGGTTTGTTTGTTTGTGCTTTCTCGTAAGTCAATACGCTGTGTGTTGGCTTGTCATTCCTCTTCTAGACAGGGGAACCAAATACATCTCTCGACCAACGAGAGACATTTCCTCGCCGATGTGAAGCTAGATCCATGCGATGAAATAATGGCAACGTTTTCTGCCTGGGTCTCGGAACACAATCGGCGGTCTCGTCAGAACATTCCGGTTGACTTTTGACATGCATGGAGGAGTTAATTGATCAGAGTGGTTTCGAAATGGTCTTTTGGTTCATATCCCATCGATCATGAAGCTGTAAGGTTTTAATGTTCGGACGTGAAGGGAGATAAAGGACGATAGACAATTACAATTTACAAATCAAAACAAAAATGTTTTGTTGTTATTCTTGGATTCTTAAAATGGGGATACAATGTTTTTTGTAGGTACAAAACTTTCTTCAATTAGTGTATGAAAATTAGTTGGAATCCCTATTAGGTTAAATGCATTGAACAGTGCACTTTTTTAAACCTTTGAAATTGTCCATGCTTTAATTCCTGGACAATTGAGGGCGCTGTCGCTGTGATGTCATCCAGGGAAGACATGGTTCAATGCAAAGTTTTACTATTCAAATTGTAAACCAAAAATTTACTCACTGAAAACAGTCCTGGGGAGGGATGATTGCTTGCCTCCTGTAAATAAAATTATGCAAGCAAATTTCTTTAACCAGTGTACCACTGTAGTTTTCTTCCTGGGATGACATCACAGTTTTGTTTATGAATATGATAATCTCTGTCTAAAAAACGTGGCAAAAACTCATTGAAATAGTAAAACAAAAATTGGAAATGAGGTTTAGTGAGACTACTAAGTACAATGTGGAGTTATGTATTAAGCTATGTCTTTGCAGCTATCCTAAGCCCGGCTTACTCTGACTGGTATCAATCGAATTAGTTCAACAGTTATCAAGTGTTATAACTTTCGTTTTTGCCTGTAAATTATAATGGATGTTAAGAGTGTTCATCGATAATCGACAAGTTTAACATTTCAAGAGCAATCCTCAACATTAATTTCCCAACAACTCCTTTGTTGTATGGTAACTCGCAGTTTAGTTTTGTCGATCGTAAGGCCAAAGCCCAAGGGGTCGTTATCCGGTGCCTTTGGCGTTATTCACGATTACGAATGTAGATAGTCGTAATGAGCATCCCGCCGAGAAAATGTTTGTCTGAGCAGTTGCTAGCACTCCAGGCATGTCGTGATGTAGACGGAGTCATAGCGTGGAAAGACAGTGCTCAGTTTACTCCGTGATAAAATTTGTGCTTGTTTAAAAACGCATGCGCACTTATTCATTTGGAAAAGGCTCTCCTGTTTGCGCACACTCACTATGTACTTTTTCCTTCAACGTCCTTCGAACTTTGCTGTATGTCAGATACACGTGTGAGAATTTCTGTATGAAGGAAGAACTTGGCAACTTCAGTTTCGATTTACCAGCTCCATAATTCAGGAATTACTGGTTTTTCTGTATTAGCCTTTGACACCTGTCACATTACCGAGTATACTCGAGAAAATTTCAGCCAATCGAATGTTCGAAAGTTATCGCTACAGTAATCGCAAGACTTTCATGTTATTTCGTCTCTTTGAAAACCATGATACTGGTCTTGAGAGGAGGGAGAAGTAGGGACATAAATTTAAATTTGTTTTTCATCATGTGGCATGTCACTGTGTGTGTTCTTCAGTAACATGATTTACGTGCAACATTAAAAGCCCCGCTTGCTGTCGAACAAAGTGTCCCGTCTGAACAGCAGCGGCGTACCCTGAGCTGGTTTGCCGATATTTCTCGAATTATTTAAGAATTCCCGGCGGTGGTGAGCAATTTATCTCTTCCTCTTGGATATTAGCCGCTATATCCCCCTTCGAATAGGGCCACAATCGGGGGCAAACGTCCACTTGGGGTACAAGTCAGCGTACTTTCCCTTCCGACGAGCAAGCCCTCGAAATTTATTGCCCTGCAAAAGAAAACCCTGCTTTTATTTGCAATAACCGCTGCGCATTATCAGAGGTCAAAGGGTAATTGAGTTTCTTCTGCCGATTTACAACCTAATTAGCCATTGGTTCAGCCATCAATCAACTACCACGTGAATAGCCCATGGACCAATCACGTGTCGCGTCGTTTGCATTTCAATTTGTGTCGAAGGGCGGCTCTGTTGATTTGCTCTGCAAAAATAAACAATGAAAGTAATATCACTGACCATTATTCATTACAATTTTTAATGACATTTTTGACAAAGACCCCAAATAAAATGCCTTTGCCAACAGTGTCGTTTTATTGCAAGGCAAACGGTTATTAAATCTCCAAAAAAGTAGATGCTCAGCTCACATGCGGCTGCTTGAAACTGTATTTCATACACGTCTGGCTATTGTCAAGTCTCTGTCCTAAATTCAAAGTCTCGATTCGGTCGTAAATTATGCAACAGGTTTTTTGAAAAAAAAAAGCTTAATCCTGTTATTAAACGAAGGCACGGGTTATGAGTTGAGACTGTCCGTGAAATTTCCTCTTGCCTGATTTATATATTTCATCTGGAAATGCCCTGATTTATTCTAATCCCTGGGATTTAACAGTGAATCCTGCCCTTTACCTAAGGAATAATTGTAATTACTTATTGGAGAAGAGGGACAAAAAGGGATATATAGGGCGGTAAAGGGGTCTGACCGTCCAACCTACCCTCCCCCATATTCCAATCTTGTCAATATTAAGCCTGGTCGTGAATGACGCAGGAAAATATTCTGTGGAGACCTGCATGACTGGACACGTTCTTTTTTGGTCTGCATTTCAGGACTCAGCTGTTTTTTTATGAGTATTACCCATCCTGACCCACCAAACCAAAAAGAGAAAGGAGCAACCTGTCATAGCCCAAGAGGGAAGAAAACTACACCTAGCAATAAACAGTAATATGCACGGCAGAGTGGAACCTACTGTATATCATACAACATGCCCTTTTGTTACACCACGGTCATAGATAGTGAATTTTTGTTGGTGTTCTGTTGATCACGTGATATGCTACAAGCGCGCATGTATCGTTTCCCCGTCGAGCGCACTGGCAATGTTCAGGCTGCATTCGAATCAGTTGTCTAGCGCTAGATGTGGGTCTTCGTTCCATTGGAAATGTGTGGAGACGCGTAGACAATAGACCTAGTCGTAGTTCTGGAAGCCCGTTTCGGACACCACCTTAGTTGTAGGACCACCACAGAAATGGTGGACAACAGTGATCTTTCTCATGTGTCGTGTCTACTGCATTATAATTGTGTAATCTTGGGTACGAGGGTGGATGTCCGTGGTAGTACGACGCGCCAATTATTGTAGGAGATGTGCACTGTGTGGGGGACATTGAAGCACTGTGTCTATTCGCATGTGCCACTCTCTTTACTCTGCGTCTGACCATGAAGGAGACCTGTGGGTTATTAAATTTTTGTTCGTGCACGCATCTATGCTTGTAGAGGGGAGCGGGTTAGCGTAGCGGTGTTTTCCTCGCTTTGCGCCAATGAGGCCCGTGTTCGAGTCCAGTTTTAGAGGCAGGGGGAAACCGGAGTGCCCGGAGAAAACCTGCGAGAGCGAGTATGGGCTGGAAACCAAATGCACTTAAAGCATAGGTTCTGTACATCCTATGGGGCAAATGGCACCCTTGACTTCACCTCGAGTGCCGTTTGCCGTATTGACTGGCACACACACCCGCCCAAATATACCGTATGTACGTACCGACGATCAGAAACCCTCTCAAAATCCCAGACACCTCAAAAAGTTCCCGTTTCTCTACTTCCAGAGTAAGTGAGGCTGAGCTCGATGTAAAACAAACAACCCTGTTCAACAGAAGCAAAAAAATGATTCAAGGGAGATTCCTTTAGTTCGGATAGTATTCATTTTCAAGAGACTAACTTAATGTGTTTCATTTTCTTTGTTTGCACAGATAAAACATAACGGGGAGAATATTTGAATTCTTTGGACCCGCCAACAGACGACGGAAGATGAAGAGGCTGAGAGTTCATTTTTCCATCGTCTTTGGAGATTGGCAGCTGTACGGGATATTAAAGCAGTGTGTTACGAGGGATGAATTTTTATGTGTGACATACAGCTAAGGCAAGGACCATGGAGGGACTTCAAAACGTTGCAGGAGAGATTTCCCATCAGCGAAAAACATGTCCAAAACGGTACATTCTTGAACTTTTCAAGTCGGCAAAACTCATCTTTGCATTTTGCAACATGGCATTATTGTGGTGTCCACAAAAACTGAAGGATTACCCTGTGCTAGAGGATTATTTGCAAATAATGACCCAAGTCGGAATTCGTCCAACGTGCAACTTGGTCCGCGTCCGGAAACAGGTTTGAAAGATGCACCAACTGGATTTCTGTCACTTTGCTGCAAACTGGATTCGCACTTACCCTCTGCACTTGTGCAACGGCGACGCGTGATTGAGATTAGTTGAAGGTTTCTGACTGTACTTACCGCCTGGCCTTCGCAGTCTACTGGCCCATCTCAGCTTAAGACTGACTATGCAAAATGTGAAATCTGACTTGTTTTCCCCTGAAGTGTTTTCTTACGGACTTGTACATTGTACGTTCAGCAATAATTTATCAAAAACAGTTTAAGAATATTTGAAGGAAAGTTTTTCAACGGATGGCATGTCTACTGCAATTTTGCTTGCCATGCAATAAGCATTTCGAAGCTGCTTGTATGCTGTTTAAAATTTCACCGTGCTGTAGTTAAAACATAAGAATGTACCGTTTCTAATTTAAAAAGAATCGAGTATATCTCGATGTTTTAAGTTGCGATTCTTTTTGGTTTTAAGTTCGGGTTTTCTTTTATCTACATTTCATTAGAGTAGACAAAGGTGTTATTTCTTTTTCATGTGATTTTTGGTATCAATTACTGAAGCAGTAATCATTGCTTTTATCGATGTCCAGAATAGAGCCCCACAATCGAGCAAACAGACAGAACACTGCGTTCATCCCAAGGGTCACCAAACCTTCCACGAGTTCCCAAATTTGTTCTAGGGAACCGTTGCCACCTTGAGATCGACATTTTTCAAAGTCCGTGTAAGAATGAAGTAAAGGCACGAAAAGTGTACACGTAGATGCTTTATAGGGCTTTTTTAATCAAAAACATCGGTCTTTACTGACAATTACAGCTGAAGCTAGATGGCGAAGATTAAATTGTAGTTTGTAGATTAGAGTATAAGGCGGTGTTTCGAAATGTTGCAAAATTCTTATCTCGTTGAGATGAACTTGTTTCATAGAACACAACGTACTTGTTTGTTAAGCTGTGTCGTAGGGAGAGACACCTTATATACCTAGGTGTTCAAGAGAGAAAATATAAATTAAATACTTCTCCAACCCCCCCCCCCAAAAAAAGGTTAATTTTTGGCGAGTCATTTGAGAAACTAGCGTGTTTGGAATCTGACTTGGGAAAAAGCCTTTCTCCTCCAAAGTGGCCCTGAATAGGGGAAATGTACCCACAGTCTTGTCTAATTCGCACTCGGACACCATTTCTGAATCAAGAAATTGAATCATCAAAGGCTTTGTCAGAATAACTTGGCTGGGCTTAACAGAAATATGGGAAGTGGTTGTAGCCGCTAATCAGGAGCCTCATAGGCACACGCGTTATTGCTAGCCGCAGGAAGTAATTCAGATTCGGCTTGGTAATCCAATCCATCGACCCATCCTATGATAGGCACCTTCTACGGTTTAAACAAGCTGTATACAAGTTTCCGTTTCTGCTCTGAACTTATCTGATACGTCACTACGCGCGCATGGGTAATGACGTCACTACGCGCATGGGTAATGCGCACACAGCTAAAGCCAGATTTGCTTGCCTTTCATCTTTCTTGAACCAGACATTCAGTTTTATGAAGCTGTAAGCAGAAAATAGTCGAAATTACAAGTGACTATTATTCTGAAACACACTTTCTGTTTCCTGTTCTAAGTAAAATTGGATATTGCTGGTTTACTTTCTGTAATAAGTAGATAGTTCATCTTGATGATTTCAAGGGATATGTAGATGCTGAGTAATGGAAACTTCTTTGTTATCGGACTGATATTGAAATCAGAACTGTTAACGCTAATGTCCTCTTTGTATGTGTGTAATTAACGATTTCAAGTGCACATAATTTTGTACAAAAAGTGCCTAGTTTTGTGATTGTATGTTGTATTTATTTTATAGCTCTCAAATCGCAAAGAACGTTCAATACAAGCCAGTCCAATTTTATAGAAATTCACGTACTTCAATTACCTTTTTATTCATACATTATGCAAATAGTATGCAAATTGCATGCATGTTACGTTGTTTCCAAGTCTAAGTAGTGGCGAGCCTTATATTTCTTGTGCCAGGTTGGACCCTGTTTTCAAGCCTGACACTCCTTTAACCTTACTTGTGATTAAGGCTTGCACTTTTTTTGTAAATAAAGTGATTTTAGAAATATTAACTCTCAAAATGTGTTGTCGTATTATTTGAGTTAAGGCCTCTCCTTGCATTTTCCTTCCTTAAATATAACAATAAAACTTCATTGTTGAAATTTAAAACTAAAGTTTATTTTTAGTATGTAACTCTGCAGTGAACAGTACCGGCAAAGAGTGTCAGTTGTTGACAAGGACAATTGATTTCATGTAATTGTACAAGTTGTACTGAGTTAAACTCAATGTCAGCCGGGTATCGATTATTCATACGTGTTAATTTGAAATCAGCTTTGCTGCTGTCCTCTTTAGTGCTATACAGAGAGCTATTCTGGGTGGTAGAGTAAGCAGATTGATGTATACTTCCCAAGAGAGATCTGCAGAAACTTTGCTGTGAAGCTCGTCATCACATGACCTCGTAGACGAGGACCAGTGAGTTTTTATTCACACGAGTACACCCCCAGTACTCGACGGACTTTTCGAATCCATCATTATTTTCTTCAACTCATCACAGTTGACGATTCAGATGCAACGCGAATCGAACTCGGAACTCAAACCAGATGCCTCTTGCAATTTCCCGCTGAACCAGGTCCCCGCTCTGGAGGATGCGTTTTGACAACATGACGACAACATGACAGTCTCACTTTCCCCACGAGGTGCATGCACAGGCAACGAATAACACCTTTCCCCCAGGCTGGCCCCGTGAATCTCCGGTGGGACCGGCTAAGCTGATACCCTTTGGATACAATTACTCGATGGCAAACACGAAATCCTGTACATCGCTTTTTGCACTGGTCTAATTTTCAGGTGCCAGAACAACTTCTTTTTGGCTATTTGACATTGACTAAGCATGTTCCTTCTGTGACTGTGAGCTTGATTTCGGGCCCATAAATGGATGCACTCAGCATAAGTAGCGACAGGCACCTCGCGAGAATGCATGCGAGAACGTGTAGTCACCCGAACTTAGTCCAGACTAAACTGTGCCCTCTAGAGGCCAAAATGCGCACGTGGAGACCCGGGCATGATATTAAATCAAGATCACGATAACGTTCTCAACTGAAAGGCGTTAAAAAAAACAGCAGATACAGAAAGTTTGAGGTGATTATAAACTTTAATTTCCTGTCTTATTATAGGAAAAGTGGCACACGATCTTTGGGATCTAACAAAGAAAAACATAACAGTTTTCGAAAGGAGGGGGCAAAATTACCGCCCTCCACGTAAAACAAACGTCCCCCACTCTGTGACGTAAAGCATCAACAGTTTACCATTATTACCTCACTCGAAATAATATTATTCAGAGTGCATTTTTAATTTAAGCCTGACCTTCTGATCCACGTACTAAATTAGACATGACGGCTTAGTCTATATGGCATAACTTGCTGTGCACCTGTCAACGGATAAATCAAATCACACTTCAACAATGAGGACTTGGTCTTCATCGCTTTGGTATCGGCCTAATTATTAAGTGTTCACAACGGCACTACTTTATGAACAAAGTGTCATCATAACCTGAGTGATATATAGTCGGCAGTCGACTGGGTCTCGTTCATATTCCTCTAAAGTAAGAATCAACGACGGCCCAGTGGACTTGGATGCTATTCTCTCCATGCGCAAAATACTCGCTCCTAGTGCTTATGTAGAGTATTGTTCTGTAGTTATTTTAATCCTGTTAATATCAGTTCGCATGCGTGTTTAAAACAGACTAATCCTGTATTATGGCTAATCACGATGCGTGAAATCTGTCAACCAAATGCGCGTTTGAAAAGGGTCGACAGATTTCGCGCGTGGTGATTGGTCAACGCGGTGCAAACTCTTGGAGGCGCACTATTGTAAATCGCCCGTATGAGACATATCTCCCCTATAGTATAGTAATGTAATTTGACCACCAGAATTAAAAGCCATTACTGCGGTGGCACAACGCTCGTGGACAGGTGGTACGCGCGCGTTACATGCCTTTTCGACCAACAGGGTGTTGTGATTTGCCAAATGCACGCGCGCGTCAAGCTGAGGAATGTGCGTTTGAGTGCGGTGCCACCGCAGTTGTGGCGTCTAATTGGATTAGTCTATAGTTAAAAACTTTTGAATTGGCAATTATCAGGGAGTTGGAATGATCTAATGTGGAGAAAAGTTAAGGTACAAAGGCAACAGAAAAGCTCGCCCAGTGCCCAAACAAGTGCAAATCCTCAGGCTAGGTCTATCAACTACTTTGTGTTGAACAGTTTACAAACTGGTAACAGAGTTCCTTTGCAATTGGTTTTCACGGCAAAGCCAGAAACAAATAGCAGGACATGGCAAATATTTTTACCTGGGTATTCTTAGGCCTCACGAGTTATGTTTATGAAAAGCTTCGATGAAACTCTTGAAGATCGTCTTCGAAACCAAGGTTTTGATTTCAGAAAATGTGATCGGCGCTGCATGACCGTAATGTGGGATGGTAGTGTAACATCATGCACCTTGAAAACCACCAAAATCAAGAGCTAGGGTCCTTCATCTTGATGACGCCCCTTTGTAATGTGAGCTTGAATATCAAGACTGTCAAGCCAGGCACCAACCTTGATTGCTTTGTCACACCTTCCTGCTACACGGGGAAACCTTTGCCCCGTGTGTTGTAATAGTGACGAGAGGTAATGACAATAGCATACGGCCAATGACAAACCCATACAGACTGGGTGAAGTTGAACAATCCTCAGATCTTCCCCAAAATCCTAAGTGATTGCCAGTGTACCTGGCATATTGTGCTGAAATAAGAAGTAAATTTTAGTGGAGGGTTGAAAACGAGGGGGAAACGGGGTCGGTTCCAGTTGAGCCCAGCAAATTATGAGTGACAAGTCCTGAAAAATATGCGAGGGAATGTTTCCGCCATTATCATCAATATTTGACAGGATAATGACTCCTCTGTGATTCAAGGTGAAGCGTCTGTAAGGGGACCATTAATGGACAAAATAACCTTGAATACCCACAATAGGCCAGTAAGTCGATCGGCAGATCCCGGCTTACTTCCGATTTGTAGTACCAATTGGGAGACCTGGTGTGCCACAGTCAACCCTTGTCCACGCGTGGATGAGTTGATACCAGACTTTGTGTGACCCCATTCAGGTGCACGGATAACACAGTCAAGGCGAGATTGAAGGATGTTCAACATTTTAAGTTTAATAGTTTAAGTGGAGGACGATACTTTAGAAAATTCAGTTCCAAAATGTAGGATATAGATATATAACTAGCTCGGAGGAAGGCCTTACAAGTAGACTCGGAGGATATCGTACTCCAATAGATACTGGAAGATCCACATCATTTAAAACCTCTGAAAGGGTTCAAACCAGGTCACACTGAAGTCATCAGTCGCAGGCGGATCCAGGGCACCCCCCCCCCAACAAAAAGAGGCAACAGTGTGTTTTAATAAATAAAAATAAAAGAAAGACGGGTTTTTGGTCTGCTTCATTTCCCCCTTCCAAAAGTGAGTAAAAAGCCCACAAATGTAGCCCCACCCATCGAAAAGGCCATAAAAGGTACGCGAAAAAATTCAAAGTTAGGCCTATGCCCATCCCATAAAGAACACCCCCCAACAAATGGTTCTGGATCCGCCCTTGATGTCATTGATCGGATTCAGACGGAGATTGAGAGACGATCGTAATGATCTGAACCAGATAAAATAATAGGCATTGAATGAAACTATTTTTACAAGCCATAACTATCAGCTGTCGTAGTTCAAAGCTCTGAGAATAAAGCGAATAATAGCTCACAGTCGATTCAGCGAATGCAATCATCCCTTCCATAACAGTCATGATTTGAACTGACTCAAGGTCAGTGACACCCCAGAAAGTCAAACCTAATTGTTTTCTCCTGGTGTGGTCTCGGTTTGGTCGAGACCATTTTTGGACATTCGCCACGGCCATAAAAACCAAAATAATATTACTTGTTATCATTGTTAGGTTATCCTCGGGTTTGACAGGCAATACAGGCACACATTCTTAGATACTGTCTCATAAATTACCACCCGATCCAAACACTGTCCTACATATGTCATTGTGCTGTATAGGTTTCCACTCACAGGGCTGAAACTCACGGAACACAAGGCTGACGGAGCAACGCGAGGGAGCCAAAAGGAGTTAGAGAAGCGAGAGATCTGCTTGTTTTCACAGGATGCACGGCGTTTATTTCCACAAAGTTCATTAGCGGGATTTGTGTATGCAAACAGACCGTCACCGGAGATGCGCTGATGGTGACACCGGGAGAACGACGCTCTCTACGGGTTGGAGTTTGCGGTCTACCGCGCTCTGACGGTGTTTTGGCAAGGACTCCCCGGTAGACTTGACAGAGAATAATACACAATAATGAATGTCATCCTGGGTCCGGGCTGTAGTCTGTTTCCAGAGCTGGGAGCTGGGTTGAGGAAATGCCTCGTAGAGTATGATGATAAATGACATATTTTTTATTCAGAGACGTTGTTGAATCAGTTTGGCCCGTGTATGATAACAATTCATAAATTTGGTCGCGGCAGTAGTTCGAATATAATACCCGGTAATAAGGGAATAACAGCAGGACATTTATGATTTACTGTCGATACATGTAGGGCAATGGACAATCCATTGGTGATCAATGCCAAATATAATATGGTAGTCTAAATAAATACGTTTTTATTGGGACTGTACACTACATAACAAGGGACAGTAACGGGTCACTGTGACTCCGCTAGATGGCGCTATTTCTTAAATGGGTACATTCATTATTAAAACAATGTTATTCTGTTACCGTCTTATTTTTCGATCAAAGACTTTTTCTACTTGGATTGATATGTGAGCACATGGAGGATCAACGTGGTAAGGCATCGTATTTCCGCAGACGTGGAAGATAAATCTTAGTTTTGTGTTTTGAAAAACCGCACAAACTATCTTCAAGTAGATATGTAAAACACACTCGCGGCCCTCTGAACACATTCGCTGAATTCCAAATAATTGTTTGAACGATTTTTGCACTGCGACTTTATTTTGAAAACGAAAATGAATTTTAGATAATTTGGTCTACACATTGCAAA